CGCAGGGCGGCCCTTCGGAAGCCCCGCGCATCTCCCGGGGCCGGCGCCCCACACCCGCGCGCACGTGTGGCGCCCTGCGCGCTCTGTGGCTGAGAACTTGGTGAATAATGCACATTCCTCTGCAGTTACCAATCCCGGGCGCTTTCTATTCTGTGAGCTGACTCTGATTAAGGCCAACTCGAGGGGTGTCTGACGAGGGATCAGGAGAACCCCGGCGCACGGCCGCACAGGTATGCGCCACGTCGGTCAGACCTACATTCCAACCCCGAGGCCGCGCGCGGCAGAGACGTGCGGCACAGGCCCGAGTCTGTGGCGGGGAACGGGGCGGCTCCAGCTCCCCCAGAGGCAGGGCCTGCAGCACCGCTTTCCCTTCACTTTCACCAGAAAGCTTGCCCTCTGGGGGGGCGGGCGGGGGACATTGTTTAAAGCCCATTTCACTGCTGGGTTGGGCGCAAATCTTTTTAGCTAAGGTTATGAGTGAAACAGACAATGTTGAAACATGTTAAAATAACAATAATCACAATAATGTGTTACTTGGCACAAAATCAGAAATCCAGATCTGTGGGAAGCAATGGGGAACCTAACCATACCAGATAATTTAATAGAAATCAGATACATTTCAATAACAATGGGAAACAGAATTTACTGAATCAATAGTGTCAGCTAACTAAATTGCAACAGGGAGACAGATACTTTCTTCCCACTGGAGCCCAGAACAATGCAGCTTAGAGTGTTCAGATCTCACACCCGACGGCCTAGAGTCAGGCCACAGCAGCGTGTCTGCACTCTGAGGAAATTGGGATTATTCCCTGAAGTTGAGGGAAGCCAAGCACCTTGCCCAAGGCCCTAACAGCGGAAGGGGCAGCGCTGGGCTCACCCAGGTGGGCCCGGCTCCTGGCCAGTGGATTTTGCAGCCCCTCCAACCTGGAATAAGTTCAAGGAGATTTAGAGTTCCGGAGATGTGCACTTTGGTTAAGTGCTTTCTGAGGAAGCCAAGCTGGACTCTTACGTTATAATTTCCAGCCTGTCCTGTAAGGACAAAATCCTGGGTTTCTTCATTCTTCGGTACATCAGAAATGGCTAAGTAATAAGATCTTGGCTTAGGTCTCCCAAAAACAGCACATAAAAATTCGAGATTGGGCTGGATGTGAGTAGTGTATGTCACAGAGACTCTCAGTCAGGGGTCATTAACTTTTCACAATTGTCCTGCCAAATTCTGGTCCACGCACAAAGTGTGTTTCTCCTGCAGCTGAGGGCCCTACCGTCAGCGTCGTGGAACCGGGTCAGAGCTCATGAGCACCTAAGCGGGCAGGTGCGGAGGGCACCCGGAGTCTCGGAGAGCCAAGTGCAAGGGTGGCGGGCGCTCTCTAGACTGGCTGCCGTTGGCTGGCAGCACTGTGTCAGGGCTGCAGATTTATTTAGTGTTGGCGTGGCTCTCTCCACCTCCGAGTGCAGTGCTGAAAATAAAATTCAGAGGAGGCCACTGGTACAAACAAGCTGAAAACGTGACGCCTGTGTTGGTGTGACTCTGGAAAGGCAACGGGCGTGGGGCTGACTGGGTGAGGCAGCAGCCTGAATTTCAAGGCTGGTCTGTGTCCTGGCAGCTTAATGCCGAGAGTTACACACTACCCGGCATTTCCTGCAGCGCTGACCGTAAGTATGAACGCTGTCCACTCACACCAGCCCAGAGATATGTGTGCAAGATGTACTTCCTATCGGGAGGTAATTTTATTTTTAAAAGCTGATGATTATTACCAATATTGTGCTCTTGAGTCTGAAATGACCTTATCCTCTTACATCCTCTTGAAATGACTAATGCTCATAAACTGTGTCCAAATCTTTTAAAAATGTTATAAAACCCTGCATCAACAGGTCTGGCAGAACACTGACTTAGCAGCAGCAAATGTTGAAAACACACTGAAGTCTACACAGCCACACAGATGCTTGTGAGACTCTGATGGCAAACAGAGAAAGGGCTTAACGTTCTTGCTAGAACCAAGGAGAGCCAGCGAGTACTCGCTCTACGCAGCCTTCAACCTAAAGTCACGAACTTAAAAGAAAGAAAGAAACGGGAAAAGCCACGCGGTCCTGTGTGCTGGGCTGCAATCTGCTTGGAAAAGGAACGGACTTTTACCGTGCACCTAAGGTGTGCCACGAATCCACGTCAAGCCTCACAACAACCCCATGAGTTTTGTGTGGTTTAAATCCATTTCGCAGATAAGAAAACTGAGGGGGAGGTCAATCTTCTGTCCAAGTTCACGTATCTAGGAAGTAGTCAAATCCAAAGTGAACTTTCCAAAATGCATGCAACTTGCAATTTAAGTAAAGTGGCTCTGAGGAGCAAAGCCCGGGACGAGCAAAGCCCGGGGGATGGGCAGGCTATTTCCCGAGTTCATGCCCACAAAGTCCGATTCCTCTGCTGCAAGCACAGTCCAGGGATCCAGTCCGTGCCTAGCTGCAGGAGAATGCAGCTTGGACACTGGACACATCAACCTATTTTTGCTGCTGTGAAAGGACACACATGCCTCTTTAGTCTCAGAAATTTCCAGTGGGATGCCACTACTTGCTGGTCAAGTGTCCCACAGGCCTGGTGACTCTGGGCGGGGCAAACCGGGGTAGAGGGGAAGCAAGTCTGTGAAGACGAGCGACAACACAGGCAGCCTGTTCCAGCCTTGTCCCACTAACTGTGGGGGCTTGGGCAAGGCCTCGCCCCTCAGAGCCTCCATTTTCTCACATGTAAAAGTGGGTGGGTGGTAGGAAACGGAGCTTTCTACTACGAAGATTGGACAAAAGGTGTGGACAGAAGTTGCTCAATAAACAGTAATAAGTGTGATTTCCAAAAGAGGAGACTCAATACCAGGTGATGGTTTATGTTCCTGCCCAAGACTTGCCGGGACTAAGTCAAGAGCTAAAATTAACAAAAGCGATATGCGAAAATGACTCCAGCAAGCACAGTCTGGGGGAGTGAAAGCAGTCTGGAGATTTTCCAAGGAAATCAATTTATTTTATTAAAGGAAAGAAATCCTAGCCATGGGGTAGAGTAGCAACTAAGGTTCAAATGTCACACAGAGTCCTAACTTTAATCCTACAGCCAAGACTTAGCAACCACAGCTTTGTGGCAAACGCCAGCTCCACACCCCACATCTTTGACGGGGCCTGTCTCAAGCACAGGACTGGATGTGTGAGCTGTGCACACACAACTGTCTTTCAGATTATGCTATTTGTTAATCCTCTTGTTATTTCCAGGGTTACAGTTCTCAGCTGGCGGCCAAACTGAACTGCCCAGAGTAAATCCACTTTCCAGAAAATCTCATTACAGCAAATTTCTACTACATTTTTATAATTAGTAAGTCAAACATAACTTTTAGGCAATTTTTCTTGGGGAGAAAATGAGTATTATTAATACGCCCATTTTTTCTTCACTAGTTTTTATTTTTAATCAAAACATACACATACATGATTAAAAATCAAGTAGTACCCAAACTCTTGTAATAAAAACAGTAGCCCCCAATTCCACCCCTTGGTTTGTGTCCCCAGAGGCAGCCTCTTTCAGATTGCTAACTAATATCCTCACGCTGTTACTTCTGGATTCATCAATTTTCCACATTATCTGCTAGCTATAGCTGAGACAAGACTCATCTCCTCAAACCTAAACCAGTGGGAAAAAATTCACAACTTTTTTAGTTAAACCAATAGTATTTACACTGTGATGTAAGTATTGTTCACTGATGTGCCAATAATATACTATTAATATTTCCCTTATTATATTACTTTGTTTATACTGGAAATATTAATTGCCTTGATTTTATTCATTTGATTTGTCTTCTATATGCCAATTACTATTACCTCCCCCAATATTTCAAACATCTGTCAAACACCTAATAGTATTTTTCCAAACTCTAAATATCTTCAGTTCTATTTATCATCGTATACCCTCATGTTGCTGGAAAATAATGTCCAGTAGTTTGTTTAAACACATATACTAAGTGCATGGCTAAGAAGTCTGGGATAGTTTGGCTGGGCATAGAATTCTACTGAAAATATTTTTTCCCACTGGACTTGGAAGGTATTTCTCTATCTTCTAGTTTCCAATATCATTGTTTAAAAATGAAATCTCATTCTGATTCTTGATCCTGAATATACAACCTGTTTTTCTCTTTGGATGTTTTTTAGGGTCTTCGAATCCTGTGGAATTCTGACATTTCACAAAGCTACGGCTCAGTGTGAGTCTTTTTTCCTGTATTATATCAGGCACTCAGAGGGCTAATCCTGAGATTGAGCTCCAGAAAACACTCTTAACTAACCCTGAATGTTTCCCTGATATTTACTGTTTCCTAAATTCTCTCCTGGATGAGCCATCAAATGGACCCTAAACCCTTGATACTGGGCACCTCTAGCCTATGTCCCATGCTTGTATGCATAAATAAATAAAAACAAATCTTTAAAAAAATAATAATGCTCATATTGTGATAGTTTTTGTTTTTACTTATCTAATAGCATACTGTTACATACAATTTCTCTGTCTCAGCATAATTTCCTGCATTGTCTTTATTTCTACCAACTTCCTTTTATCTGTAAATTTGTTTTATACTTTACCTAT